CACGGCAAAATAAATTTATCGGTCTCTAGCGAGATAAAATGCTGCTCCGATAAAGAAGCTTTCTGCGATAATTCTAATGTTTATCGAGGTAAAATAAACCATTGCGCTAGTGCTAATATGCATCGCGATGAAACTTATTATCTCGAGAACATTGCAAATATATTTTAGCTCAATAAAGCTAGATAAATTTATTTAAGGCAATAAAGACAATATTTATCGCAATATTCTTCTGTATCCCGATGCATGGCAAATAAATTATTTCCCAATATTTTTTCAGCGTTAAAGTGATACAATTCATCGATAAAAGTGCCAAGCATTGTGATGGAGCACAGATTTTATACTGTTGTAACGCGTTAACAGATTGCGTCCAGCATTAAATGGTTTAAATAGCGCGTTTTAGCGGGATATCGGCTTGGTCAAATGTTACGGAATTTCATTTTTTTCCGTCTTCTGTGCCCCTTATCTTGGGAAAGAGGCAACGTTTATCAATGAAATTTACATCAATGATGCATATTAGGGGGTTCCACTACCAAAAATAGTTTGAGCTTGATTGAACAAGCGGATCAAAAGTTATAGTCAAAATAGGGGCCGTTACGGAATTTCAAAAAATGGAAGTGTTTTTCGGCGTATTTCAGTAAAATGTAAATTATTCAGCCTTAAATTAACCTTAAAATGATTGCTTAATTACGAAATTAAAGCTCACAGTTTGGGCTATCAGAATCATTACGGACTTTTCTTGAATTAGTTCCCTGGTAGAGGCAATGGAATAAAAGTGACCATTACGAAATTTCACCGTTTTTTGTCCTTCTTTGTAGATGGTTTGTATATATTTTTTCTGTCCCAGAACTACTTAGCAAGCTCTGAATTTACACATAAACAGATAGTTCGAGGTGCCGTTCATCCCATACAGCCAGAAATAAATTTTCAAAGTTAGATTAAATGGATATAAGCGCCAAAACTTTTTTTAGAAAATAAAAACAAAATTTCGCATCTAAACCTCAAAACAAATGAGACCTTTGATAGAGGACTTGATTCTCTATCCGACGGTATAGTTTTCAAAATTTTTGGAAAAAGTATCTAGGTCAAAGTTAAATTTAAAATTTAAAAATTTAAAAATTTAAATTTTCACCGCGAAGATTTGACTTTCATTTGTTTTTGAGTCCAGATATGTAATCACCGTGAAAAACTGCGTCTGATGATGTATTTTTAAGCTTTGCTCAAGTTAAACCAAAAATTCGAACCTTCTCATCCGAAGGTGGACCGTTAGCTGGCTGCGCCGATATCTTATTTCTTACGTTGGAGCACGTTAATTCTTCGTAAGTAACGCGTTATTAACGTACATTAACGAGTGCAACAAGATAAAAAGTCGTAGAAAAGGAAGAGAAATTACGAAAACCCTTTGCATGAAATTAAAGAGATATTGCGTAATAACGAGATAAGTAGGTCAGCGGGCATTCCCTAGTGGAATTCCCGTTTCATTTTTGCTGAGATCTGCTCGCCAACACAATTTTGTCTCGTATAACGAGAAAATGCTGATCTTGGCAAAATAAAATCGCGATCTTATATCTGTAATCGCGTGCTTGATCAAATCAGTAGTTCCAGTTTGTGTTTCACAAATCTGACGGGATCGCGGTAAGATTACAGAAAGATTTTTCCTTCGCACATCGTAGAGGAAAATTTTTCCGACTAATCATTCTTTGTCTTCCGCAGACCTGGCTTAGGCTGTTTCTGGAAACAGTAAGAAAGCGAGAATATAAATTCCCATTAAATAAATCATTGCACGAAACTAGGATCAAATACATTGACTTCATATCTTGCTCTTCCTCGTTTGTAACCATGTAATGTTTTTTTTATTTCGTCTATCCGTCGAAAGTAGAAAAATAGATAGACAGTGTGGGTATATTATCGTGCACTGTGTTTATCCTTCGTTCTCTTTTAACGTATATAACAAACAGATTTATATCGATACAATTCAAGTAGTCATTTCTTCACTTTTTGCAGTTGAAGAGCTTGATTATCAGCTACAATGTAATCAAAAAAAGTAATGTAATGCTATTTCAAAATAACGAATGGGCGTAGTACGTCCCCGTATGTTTACTTTCATAATCTCCCGTACATATCAATAAAAACATTTTCTGTGCGTGTTTTTGTTCTTTGGCGATCTAATGAAAGGGTGCAAAAAGCGTTTCGTTCAAACTTTATTCACTTCTTTCCAGTGATGAATAACACAATAACACTCAAGGAGTGTTTTCTACCCATATTTATTTTGTTTTGTTGTAGTTAAGTGAACCAACCTAACTATTTGACTGTTGTCATTGGTAAGTATACAGCAATTTTCTAGAGCAGAAGCGAGTTATTTTTTTGTCTCAAAGTTGAACTATTTTCTTCGTGACAGTTTTAAAGTCGAAAGAGAATACTCTTCGTCAGACAACGCTATATAAATAGATCAATTTTATTGTTAAGAATAATGTCTTTTTTATTTCTAAATAAACGATGGACATGCAAATCAGTAGACCTAAACAACAAATGTCCCGTCTCCATTGCCTAGTAGCACACTGAACCTGTTCTTAAGAGTATTCGCCGTAAACAAAATCACATGGTTCCTAAGTTTCCTAAAGTAGAAACTGACTGTTTAAAACCCACATCAATTGGCGAAGAGGGATTTAGAAGGGTCAAAATTTTCGAGAAAATGCCACTTTCAATCCTCCAAACAGAATTTCGCTAACAATTCGAAGATCACATGTGATAGAGAATTCAGTTTTCTACTTGCTGAATTTTCGTCTGCACCCTTCACACTTTTAGACACGCTTTTCAGGTAGCCACCAGATCGATTTTTGGGCTGTTTGTACTACAGCTGTATTTTCATAACAAATCAACGTTCGGAGCCGAGAAACTTTTCATTTTGTAGAGAAATGTTCAATCTACTTAATTATCTGGTTGCAATTTTAGATTAGTTCGTAGCTTTATTGCAATAATTCTTTGGAAAGGGGACCGTTAGCTGAACAAGCCATTCAGCATTGTAAACAAACATAGAAGGCCGTTTGAAAAGTTCTTTTGTTCTTTTAATTTCAGTCTAATTATGCGTATCGATTTCCTCGTTTAGCAGGAAAATTCCTTTGCACTTGTTAAGAGTTGAACTCAAAACAGTTTTAAAAAAAAATACCTGTTGCTACCGTCGTTTTGCTCAGTGTTTCATTAATTATTGTATTATAGCATATAGCTTGTTGCATTTGATCTGATGTTATTTTCGCCGTGGATAAATTCACATTAATGAAGTATGCACCTCATAAATCGGAGTCACCAAAATCCGTACCTTCCAATTCCGTGCAATTAAAACTAGCACAGGTGAGAGAAGAACCTTCAAATTTCGCGCCATTTAATCTTAAACGATCAAATGATGCACTATTAAAGTGGGTAAATCATTTCCATTTATCATTGAAACTTGACCACACTGAACACATTTCTCTTCAACTACTTTTGTTTGTCGATCAGTTGTTATTGTTGTATAAATGCCGATAGCTATGGGAACAGTAGCGAACTCATGAAATATTAATTTAAAATGTTTGCACTTTTTTGTTCCTGGTTTTGTCGTAACTTGTTCAACTTGTTCATCTAGATAACTTAATTCTGTGTTCATTTATGCTTGATAAAATCGATTGGACACACTCACAGCTTGGAAATGGTTAGTAATCTATCAAGTTTTGGAGGAGAAAATGGCAAAATACTGACGGCGGGTCAAAAACCCGAAAATCCGCTTCGTTTCAGAAAAAATGGTCTCATCTTTTCAGATCGTGTTTAAAAATTTTTTCAATGACATATCCAAATTCTGCGTCAAAAACTGAATTTAGAAAACTGTCTTTTAAGCCTTCTCGTCTAGAACTGAGACTGCCCAAGCAAAAACGACCCAATTTTTTGGGTTATTTATCTAGATTCAGGTCCACGTACATCTAGATGCACGTGGACCTGAATCTAGGTAAATAACCCAAAAAATTGGGTCGTTTTTGCTTGGGTGTGTGAGACGGTTTAACCGTGAGCCCTCGACCTTCGACCCATCGATCTCGCAAAAGCATCAAGTCCTCAGGGATGAGAGCTAAGCGCAAAATTGTTACATCAAAAGATTCCCCGTGAAATTTAGAACAAAGTTACAGAGAGACATTTTTGATTTATGCTTTTAGTAGAGAAAAAAGTTAAATTTTCTAAAAAATAGCCATTTTGGGCCGAAAACGGCCAAGTGATTTTTCTCTAGCGCCTTTAGTTTTCGCTCAGATTGAGTGAAACTCTCGTCATATACGTAAAAAAACATGGCAAATCCGATGAAGGGCATTTCAAGGTTTTCTGGGGGGTTCCTAGGAGGTCTCTGGAAAACCTCTTCCGAAAAAATCGCAACTGTTATTTCTTGGCTAATTATGCTATAGTTCACTGGTCTTTTCAATACATGTTTGAAGCAAGTTTTTTATAAAAATGTAAAATCCAAACATATGGAATATAAAAAATAAAAACAATCTGTTCTAATAAAGAAACTGTTTTAAACTACTTGTTCAAGTTTGTATTTGTAATCTTTCTGTGTGAAACAACATTGGCTTTTGAAAGGGAACTGAAAAACATGCAGAGCACTTGTTTATAGTCCTGTCCATCATTGTAAACATGTAAGGTTTTCCAAAATCTGCGCTGAAGTTTCCGGTCGAGTTTTTTATCTTGGAAATAACGACGAGAGTCATCAACCAACTGAACCATTTTTGGAAATGACTGCTCACTGTGCTTTCGAACGTCTAGAACAAATATAAAAAAGGCTTCTTATGAGATGGGCCAAAATTAATTGCGCGGACAAAAGTGTGAAAAAAAATCGTACAAGCTTTCATCGAACACCAAAGACCTTCTATGGCCGACATTTCACAGTGATATTTAGGCAGAAAGATAAGGTGAACTCCATAACGATTTGCTAACTTTTCTAACTTTGAGACCTATAACGAACGAAAGAAAAACCTTGTCTGGCAATTCTTTTAAAAAATGGGGGAGCAACTCACAGTTTTAAAAGCCGGATGTGTTGCTAATTCCTGTCTTAACATTTCTACAGTCATTTTGTCCGTGACACTTAAACCAAGTTTTTGTCCAATAACAACCATTCCTTTGCTCTTTCCTTTATGTTCACCGGTCGTAAAAAAACAATTTAAAGTTTGAAAGTCACCATTGTCGTCCAGACAGTCGATGGATTGCACTTCACAACGTGTCCCGATTTTTTTTGGAAAGTCCATAACAGAGTAGTCCTTTTTCGAATGAGTTGTTGCATTGTCGACCAAAAGTTCTATCTGATGTCCTCTGTATTCAGCTTTAAACCCTAGGAGTTTGAAAAATCTCTCGAACTGAGCCAGTATTGTTTCATTATCAAAATATCCTTCGTTTCCAATAGCAATAGAAGCTGTAGCTGAGTTAGCTTCATAACGAATTCCTTCATCATCTTCCAACTCTGGATATTTCTCCAAAGCCTCAGAATATTCGTGGTCAGACAGTCGAAAAAATGGTCCTGAGTTGTGTGCACTAAAAGGTCTGAAATCATGAGTGTTCTTCCTCTTCCTTTAATATGAAATGGAGCCGAATCACCAACTATCCAACTTTTATTACTGATTTCTCCTCTACGGAATGAGGACTCGTCGTGCGCTGGAAAAAAAATGAAAAATAGAGAAATCTCTTCAACTTAGCTTAAAAACTCTCTCAGACTCAACTTACTAATCAAAATAACTGGAGTAGGGGAAGTAGGTTTGATCCACTCTGGCTGTTCGTCATCTGCCAGGCGATAATACATATTTTCCGTGCCAGAAAATAATCAGTAATTTTCTTTCTGCACTCGATAACATCTGGACGTTCATGGCCGAGGAAGTACGGCCTCAGACCGTTTGCCGAGTAATGAATACCCCACTTTCTTAAATCAAGACGAACACTTTCAACAGAACGAACCAAGCCCGAGCCAGTTTTTTTGAGACCGTGTAATTCATAGAATTTTGAATCAATGTATTGAGCTAATTCCTGCACAGTGAAGCTTGCGGCTTTTCGGCTACAAGCTTCAACTGCAAACGCACGAGCTTCGATTTCAATTTCAGGATATAGATCGTAAAATCCATCTCCTCTTTTCCCTCCTCGACGTTCGACCACAAATTCATCGAATGAGTGATTAAGAAACACGTCTGACCACTTATAACAAGTAATCCTACAGAAAGCACCTATACCAGTCAAAAATTCATCGACTGCACCAGTTCGAATATTGAAATGTCTCAGTGCCATATACAGCAAGGTGCTCAAATATCTGATGTTGCAGGTTTCTTGGCATAATTCCATAAGATCACCAATATTTTTAAGCATCTCATTCTGACTGAAATCAATCTCTCTTATCGATTCATTGTTGACATATTCTTCAGTGTCTTCACCGGACGATTCAAAATTTGCTTCAGACAAGTTTTCACCAGAACGTTTCCTGCCACGGGCTTCACTTAGTTGGGACTTTCTTTTTGAAATATGTGGCACTTTAACAAAAACGACGTAAATCAAAATGAGAGTGTTAGATCCTTATCACGTTGTTGCGTATATATGTTTATTTTGGAATGATAAAAATTTATTCAAATCGTTTCTCTCTCTATGCTCTCTTTGATGATTCATGAAGTGCATATAGCGGACGGCTGATTGGTCTGGCCAATCGGCAGTATTCGCACGTACATCTAAACCGCCACAAAAGATGTCGCAACGATACGGTGCACGGAACTTGCTAAATAACACAATGCTAACGATTTTCCTGTAAAGGTTTTCCAGAGACCTCCTAGGAACCCCCCAGAAAACCTTGAAATGCCCTTCATCGGATTTGCCATGTTTTTTTACGTATATGACGAGAGTTTCACTCAATCTGAGCGAAAACTAAAGGCGCTAGAGAAAAATCACTTGGCCGTTTTCGGCCCAAAATGGCTATTTTTTAGAAAATTTAACTTTTTTCTCTACTAAAAGCATAAATCAAAAATGTCTCTCTGTAACTTTGTTCTAAATTTCACGGGGAATCTTTTGATGTAACAATTTTGCGCTTAGCTCTCATCCCTGAGGACTTGATGCTTTTGCGAGATCGATGGGTCGAAGGTCGAGGGCTCACGGTTAAACCGTCTCACACAGTCTCAGTTCTAGACGAGAAGGTTTAAAAGACAGTTTTCTAAATTCAGTTTTTGACGCAGAATTTGGATATGTCATTGAAAAAATTTTTAAACACGATCTGAAAGGATGAGACCATTTTTTCTGAAACGGAGCGGATTTTCGGGTTTTTGACCCGCCGTCAGTATTTTGCCATTTTCTCCTCCAAAACTTGATAGATTACTACAAAGGTGATATTTGGAATCAGCACACTCTACCCTAGTTGAGACTCCCGGCAAAACTCCCACGGGGCTCCTGTCACGGGGTCCTGCGGGATCCTGCAGGATCCTGTAGGAGTCAGGTGGGACGTTCAAGGGATTTCTCAAGACTCCCGTGGGACTTCTGTGGAGCTTTTGAGTCCTGCGGGAATCCAACGAAAGTCCTCAGAATCCTCAAAGTCCCACGGGAGTCTTCAGGAGTCCTGAGAAATCCCTTGAAAATCCCACCTGACTCCCACAGGATCCTGCAGGATCCCGCAGGACCCCGTGACAGGAGTCCCGTGGGAGTTTTGGCGGGAGTCTCGACTAGGGTATTCTATCAGAATATGTGTGTTTAACTTGAAACTGAGAACCCGCGAAAAGTTTGAATTATGCGCGCCTTAAATTGTGGCAGAGCGAGAGATAAAAGAATAGTTAGATAGATTACTAACCATTTCCAGGCTGTGAGTGTGTCCAATCGATTTTATCAAGCATAAATGAACACAGAATCATGTTATCTAGTTGAACAAGTTAGTTCTTACTTTGGGAAATAAAAACAACTTCTTTTACTTCAGTAAAATCAAGACCTTTTTCTGTGTTGAAAAAGAATCATGATTCTAGTTTTAAACACATTTTATGAATAAAATTGTTAAATTACGTCTTTCCACATGTTTATTTCAATGTCATGACACAATGAAATTCAGTAGTGTTTTTATTCTCAATTTTTTACCAAGATTAAGTGGGAAAGTTTAGGTGATAGTGACTGAGTCTTTGAGTATTTTGAATGTTAGGTCCTGCCGTGTCCTTGTCTGTGGGGTTTTAAACAGTCAGTTCCTACTTTAGGAAACTTAGGAATCATGTGATTTTGTTTACGGCGAATACTCTTAAGAACAGGTTCAGTGTGCTACTAGGTAATGGAGACGGGACATTTGTTGTTTAGGTCCGACTATTCTGAGTTGCATGTCCATCGTTTATTTAGAAATAAAAAAGACATTATTCTTAACAATAAAATTGATCTATTTATACACGCAATATTGTGCAAGAAGCTTGACTGGACTCTACGCAATAATCTTGCATAGTCTTGCTCAATTACTTAGACTATATGCTTGCGCAATAACCTTAACTATGGTGTTCTCTCTTATGACACGTCCGAACTGCAGGAAATCAAGATCGCGCCTGTCTCCTATTTTGAAGAGGAGACCTCGGGCTACTAGTAAATGAAAAAATTTAATACAATCCTGTTAAAAGCTTTTACGCACAACCTGGTTTTTCAAAGATCTGCTAACAAGCCTGTTTCAGAAAACTCTTCTGAAATTTATTTTGCTTGTGAAAACCTGTCCCCAAGTCTCTTCTTTGGCACGGCACAAACTGGAGGTAGCTAGCTCTGGTTATTATTCGATAAATTTAATAAATTATCCCTATTATTTTATTTAAGAGTACCCCGCCGTCTTTTTGTAAAAATTTTGGATTTTGAGCTGAGCATAGCCTAATGTAGAAGAAAGTGTGGGCTACAAAATAAGACCACTCCCAGTTCTCGAAACTAGGTTTTTGCTACCAGTTTTCATTGTGCCACATTACGGCTTTCCCCTCCTTAAATTTCATCCGATCGAGTTCAGAATTTTACCAGAGGTACTCAAGACACTATTGCAGAAGTTATTTTTTGGTTTAAACGAATTTTATTCTAGACTTTTCTTTACAGACTTATCGAGTTTCTAAAATTGAAAAACTTGATTTTTGAGACGTTTTTCAGCATTTGTCCTATAACTCGACCAAAAATGGTCTCAAAAAAAGTTTCCCAAACATTACCTCTGCAGAATGACCTTGAGCATCCCTGGTAAAATTTTGAACTCGATCGGATGAAACTTAAGGGGGTTCGTAATCTGGTACAATGAAAAACTGGTGAGCGGCAATAGTTGAAAACTTGAAACAAAAATAAAAAAGTGCTCCATTTAGTTTCCAATCAGTTCTGAAAATACGAAGCCTTAGCGACTTTTAGTTTTTATTTCACTGCATTTCTACGGAAAGCCTAAAAAGAGTGTAAGGGTACCCTTTACTCGAATCCTGACCTAAGACATCCTACGTCAATAAAACATAATTCTTTTAACTGCATTGTCCGGTATTTGGCATTTTTGTACCAGTAGTTTGAAATTTTTCATCACATGTGCGCAACAGGTATGTGGAATAGTTTTCGTTAAGTGTTTATTGTCTTAAAAACAGTTTGGATTAATTTCTTTATTATTGAGGTCGGTAAGAGCACATCTTCACCTGAAAAAGCTATTTAAATGTAGAAGTTTTCTGTGTAAAAATCTGTATTTACATGTGAAAAAGTGAAAAAAAGTTTTTACCCATGTTTGAGTATTCATAGTAAAACGTGTAAATCCTTGGTGGACAGAGGCAATCCTTCGCTTCAGGGTAACTCATCATGGAACAAACAAAAGTATTAATAAAACTAAAATTTAGACTGGTTTTGTCGACTATCATGTATAAAAAGTAAATTAGTTTTTTGTACAAAACTCAACACAATTTGTTGCAGATTGAATTAATACTGGAGCACGATCATGAACGAAGTAACGTGGTGTTGGAAATGGTTTGTCATAACCAAATGTTTTTGCATATAATAGTTTGAGTAGTGCGAGCCAGTAGTTCATGGTTACAATATCGTGTGCTTCTGATACCATAAAACTGACTGAAATTAGATTTTACATGAGAAACCTACTTGGGATGGCAGTTGCTCATTTTGTCGAATTAGCTAGTGTAAGCTCATAGTAGAGCATACGTTTGCGAATATCAACGGCTTGGATAACACCGCCAGTGGCGCCCCATGTCACTTCACTTGTTTTATCAATTTTACCCCAAACCAGTGATGTTGCATTGGCACATATAGCTAGACAGGGGAGGGTTTAAAGCGCCCAAATCAACCGTTTTTTCCTCTTACTTGAACAATTCCCGGAACAGTATCACGGAGCATCAAATCTTTCATATATTTTCGATGAAGTTCTTGTAGTCGGACAAAACAGCACTTTCATTTTGATCGAAGGACGCTATTTTTTGATAAATATTAGCACTTGTGTCAATTCCTTCGAAATTTCATGCATTCAGAACATCGTTTGATATTAATAACAAGTGTCTTTGAAATAAAGTAGTAGAACTCACTCCCACTGGTAACTCGTCATTAAGTTCTCTACGGTTATCAACGCGAATTGGACGTGATTGAAATGAACGACCAGCGTGGACGATAGATAATTCACTTTGACAAACATTTCTCCATTGTTTCTAATTACACATACAGACGTAGGCTAAATGAACATTTTTCTCAATTCTTCAACTATGTGTTTTCGATGTTCCTAATAAGCGCTACCTTGTTATCTTTGAATCTTAGACTAATTGGTGCATAATTTGCAGTAGCAGCAAACGATCCAACTGTTACTGTCAACATTGAAATAATACTGTTGCATATAAAAAGATAAGTTGCATCACACACAACGGCAACATTATCTCTAAAGAATGTTTTCGAATATGGTGTATGATGTAACAAAGCTACAGTTCTTGTTATACAACCTGAATCTGAATTCCTAAATGCTTGGGCACGAAATTTTCTACAAGAGCGGCTTGAACAGCGTCACACGCTTCGGACTCGTTTTCTTTGATCTTCAAGCGATGTTTTACAACTCATAAGTATCTCAATTGCTCGTAGGAAAGATTGGGTTGAATTTTCAACCAAAGCATTTTAACAGCATTCTGAACTTAACGCTTTTTGCTATTATGAAGATCCGCAGCAATGAGGAACTAATTTCTTGAATTTCCGCTCATCCGGTCCATACTTTAACGTCATTGTCACTTAACGATGGATCATCTAAATCTAATCGAGGGACGCTCCTGAGAAAAGAGCAAAATATTATTACTTATACAACTACTCAA